CCGTTCAAACCTCGGTACTGCTTCGAAACCGTAGGCATGTCTTCATAATGGAGAGGATTACGGGTGAATTCACCAAAGGGTTTGCTTCAGGACACTGACCGTGAATGGTCCAGAAACAGTGCACCGAGCAAACCCTCAACTCCACCAATTATGACGAATGGCTCTCCAATTCTCGGAAAGACCGATATATTTCCAAGTATGGGCAACCCTAAAGGGAAAAGTCTGCTCTATCGATTACCGAATTTTGAACCCTTTCGTAATCCTGGGACAAAATTGATGAAAAATGGAAGCTGTTAATATGCTTCGGAATTGTCATCTTTTCTACAAATAATATTCGTGATTAGAATCGATTTCTGAAAGCTAGTCTCGAAATGCCAACAAAATATTGGTGCACCAGTAATTTTGCCCCACCCTGTAGTTCAATAAGAAGCATGTGATGGAACATGACTGCTCTCACCTTATACTGATTAAACTCTATGGAATCTACCGTGAACACATCATCCTTTCTGGTACTCTAAAGGAGAGCCTTCTTCATTTGTGCTTTTCATCATTTTTCACTCCTAAAAATCGTATTCAGGAAGACGCCAATGGACAAGCGCGCCGTTATTGCAACATTCTGTGCCCAGGAGCAGCCACAGCATATCGTATCACGAGATATCCTCAAAACCACAAGTGCGACTGAGTCAATTTTCTGCTGTCTAGTTTTTTCTCAATTGATAACGGCTTTTTTGTGAAGCGACTACATTTAATATTCAATTGGATTTAATTCCTTTCAGAGATTGTTTCACACATCTGACGTATCGCCTTGAAAAACGCGGCGACAACTTTCTGATGTGGAGAGAAGGAAAGTGAGTGGTTTTCAGATTATATTCAAACAAAACTTGTCACAATACAGGAGTAATGTTCGAAAGCTCTTCACGTGATTTCTAAGAGTTCATAAGAAAGGCGTTAGCATGAAAATAGACCTAGAAGTCAATCTATGAGAAGAAATCACAGCTCACAATTTTCGTTCCCTCCTACCAGTAATTCTTAAGAGAAAAGTGGACGAAATTTCCATGGAAAACTATGGAAGATCCCGCGGTTCCCTAAGACCTTAACTGAAAAAGAACGAAATAAGGATAAGATGGATAAGCCCACGAGAATACACGATTTCCCAGCGCCTCGAAAAGAACTACCTATTTAAGTACATTGCTACATTCCTAATTCATTTCGTTAGGTCCCAATGATAAAAGGATCAGTGATGAGTTGTCACCTAACTGGAATAGGGGCAGGGATCAACAGCTCATAGTCCGTTGATGTGCAAAAGAGAAGAGAGAGAAGAGAAAAAGAGAGAGAACTTGATTCAGTTCTCATGCAAGAGTACCATATACCGCAAGTGTGCTAAAGCTTGACAGTGCAATTTCTTTGACGTGCAATCATGAAAAACTTCGGGGTCATAAGCCAGAATATGCTTTGAAGAGGAGCAACTTACAAGGAGTAGGTGATGGGCAGCCGTTGAAGAGAAAAGCGAAAATTTTGGAACTCTTCCAAAGCTTTCTAGCACCTCAGATAAAATTTTCACCCATATATAATATTTCAAAAATACAATGCCAGTGCCAAATGACAAAATGCGTCCCTCCTCTCCATTTTTAGCATCCATAGGTGTGGTCCCTATATCGCTCTTTGCCCACAGGACAGTTGACCTTTTTAGACAGTACCCAAATATTGCTTACATAAATACATATTGTTGATGCAGTTACCTCTACTGGTGTTATTTATTATCACAATCGTCAAGTTTTATTAGTTTAATAGTAGTAGTGGTAATGGTGTTGTTCTATTACTAAAAATCATTCGTATAATTCAGATGCCGTACCACAGATATCCAATTCACAATTCGTTGTGAGTTCCCATCTGCTCGTGCTGACTTTATGAGTGACGGTGAGCTGTTCGCCAACGCTCGAAATGCGCTTTCATAAATGAATGTTATTATTGTTTATTTAATCTTTAATAAATTTTCATTTGAAATATTGTTTCATCATAGTTAGGAAATTTTCCTGTTCAAATTCAGTGATGGATCAATTGAAGCATGATGTGCAATTCCAAGATCATCGGTTTCCAGATGAATGTCACCATCGTCTGGCACATAATCATATAGGACATATATAATAACAGGCTTGTGCAGAACATTGAAAAAATGACTGGGAATTTCACATATTCCACCATTTGGGGCCGTTACGCCGTTTGATATCTCCCACTTAGGGCTAAGAGCTTCAGTGAGAACAAAGAGCAGCAAAATTCGTTCGAAAACATATACGACTTCAATATAAATAGAATTTGATAACGGGTGTTCAGAAAGTCGAGCAGATAATGTTAATTCAATATCAGCTGTAGAAAGGCTCATTAGATTTCTAAGTGACCTGAATTTCAAAGCTTGTGTGTTCAGAGAAATGCGATGAGCAGTGGGAATCCAGCGTTCTATCTTTAACTGAATATTCAGCCTTCATCAGCTCTTTGGTCTATGGCAACAAAGCATTTTACTGTGAGGCGTCGCCTGGAACCTGGAACTAAAACCTGGAACTCTTGAGCCATCACAAACCTTAACCGTCCTTTTTCAGTCCTTCCTCGCTTATGGTGGTTACCGTATGCCGCCGCATTTTCTTTCGTACTGCCATAGAACAACTGAGTGAAGTGGTCTTGCAATGTAATGGAAAAAGCTGTCCTCTTATCTTTAGAATCTCATTGAGTCTAGCCGAAGGTGTTTCGACTCCAGAGACTCCCCGAAGTTTTGATGTGAACAGGACCGTGGTACTTGGCATCATTCGTAGACTCGACGGATCAGGAACTGTTCCTACATGTAAAGCTAAAATCGCTGCAATCTGAGCCGATCTCAGGAAAGTTTTCGACCGCTTCTGCAGTAATTCAAAATGCTCAATCAGCGAGGTGACAAGATATCGGAGTCAAAGCAAAAACCAGTTCAAATTAGAGAAGTGACTGGAAATGGTGACGTGGAAAGGACGTATTCTCGACAAATTTATGTACCATATCTACCATGCCTATTTGCCTATCGGCTATCTTATCAGCTACGTATGTAGCAATCCACGTTGCGTGAGGGCGAGCGGGGCTTCTCCTCCGTAAATTTGCAATAGTCGCGAACAGATCACTTTGTAAGGCACTAGTAGCATTTTTGCGCACTGGCCGCGACGGCGGTACATCTGTGATGCTTCTCAGTACACGATATTTATGTTTTGTTCTTGTCATTAGCGAAGACAAAGTTAATTTTAATTTTGAACCAAACTTTGATGTATTTTTTCTCCTCCTTCATTAGTCGTCTCTTGCGAGGAACTCAACTTGTTATGTTTGGTTCTTTGACTCCATTGTCCAATCATGTCCTTGTTCTTGCCGAGTTCAAGTGCGCCATCGTACCGAGACCGTTGAGCAGCTGCTAGGAATGGCGGGTAAAATAGAGCTGCTGCGCCGTGTCCACAGCATCCTTATAAATTTATCTCATTACCTTTCAATTGTTGTTTACAAAGATAAGAAGAGCTCTATAGCAATTAGGCGTCGTTCAGCTGCTGGAGGTTTCTCTTCTTCCTCCTGTCCAATGGGTTATCAACTGGTTCTATCCATACTTAAAGTTTTTATTTTGGCAAAAGGCAATGATCACCTACTGCCCTTATGGTTAACAAAGCTGTAGAAATCCTTGTAAGCACATAGCCAGAGCCAGCGCCTTTGGCCTGTGTTCAGTTCAACGGTGCAGCTCCTGTTGTGCTGCGCCCCCGGTAATTCTTAATAATAATACAATTGTAGTAGTAATAGTAGTAATAATAGTAACAATAGTAACTGTTATTCTGAGGGCGCGGCTTCTCTTGCTTCTCACCTAGTTTATAGTGCCTTCTGCATGTGTGGAGATGGCGTGTAATCACATTGCCATCTAAAACTCAAAATGATCCAGTGTTGAAAAAGCTGTCCTTGTGACTCTATCTGAACCGATCCATTCAACTAGGTCCGTCGTTTGTGTCACTAATTATTATATGATCTTCTCAGTTACATGTGAGGCTTCTCTGAGAGTGGGTCATGAAGAGCAAAACAGAATTTCGCGAGGGGATTCGGGTTCAAGTGGTTCCATCAGCACGGTGAAAGTTTGGGTCGAACCGATTTTTGGCAATTGTTAACAGAGTTCTACCAAACGATGAAGCACGGTGCCTGGAGGCAAAGTCGGAATTTCTGGTTGAAGTAAAGCCTTCTCCCAAGGAAAGTGCAGTGGGAAGAAGGAAGAACGTACAGAAATGCTTGCATGATTTGACACGGCCAAAGCCCACAAGGCCTTTGGATGCAGGATTGGCCCCACTCGCACCACTGACCCCCACAAATAAGTTCTACTATATTTTGTTTAGTAGCAAGTTAAGAGGGTAACTCCTCGCCCTCGCCGACGGTCCCATCCGGTTTTCACTACTAACGTTACACTTCGCATCCACTGTCCTTTTAGCGTGATAAGCATATCAGTTTGCTCCCAGATTTTGTCTTCAACACACAGCGTTTTGTGAAATGCAAGATAAAAATCCCTCTTTGTACAGGTTGCCTGCAATTTACAACCTATGGCCTAAGTAATTCTCTTGACCCCAATTGAACATACACACTGTTCTTAATTGCGTCCCTTATTTTCATAAGGGACGTTACATTAACACATAAGCATAGCATATGAGCAGCAGCATTACATGCGAGGCTATCGGATGTAATCCGATTCGAATAGGCCATAAAGAGTTTGACATTAATCTGTCTGACACAGCAAATCTTCCCAACAGGGGGACACTTCAGCAGCATATTCTGATTGAACTCTATTAACAGGACTTCCTCGTT